TGTGTTTGATTTAATGTCAAATTAATTTACTTTTTATGTTTCCTTCAATTTTACAGTGTGTGCTGTATTCTTGGTGTAACCACTTTTATGCTTGTTAGTGCAGTAGGGACAGAGGAGCAAGAACACATTTTTACTCACGTATGACTAGAGTCTGTCACTGTTGTGGTGATGCTACAGTGTAAACAACACCAAAACAAAAGTAAGAATAAAAATGTCATGTTACATATTTCAACTATGGTATAACCTACGTTACACAACCAAAGTTAAGGAATAGACATTGTCCTTTACTTAATTAAAGACACAGCCACTTGGGAGTTAAGAATAACTAACACAATAATATTGCAATTAAATTAACTTACACCATATGTATGTTCTTAAATCATAAAATGTATATCATGCTTCTTGATTCAAAAGGTCAGCATTAGTGCAAATAGCACCCAATAATGTTTTCTTATAAAAATTTAATTTACACGGAACACCAAAATGTTATAAAACAAAGTACTGTGATGAAATGGGATGACTTATATTGTAATTATGTGTTTACAGCTTTCATTTCAGGGGCTTCTTGTTTCATAAAAAAAAAAAAGATTTAATCATTTTAAGTGGTTCCACATAACAATATAAAAAAGTGTGGTTTTAAATAACATTTCATGGGGAATTAAAATACTTTCTTGACTTCATCATTTCCTATTCAGCAGATTTTCTGATGTTCTGATGGTGTCTAATTAAAAAATAGAAAATCTGTTTCTAATGAGCGATCCTGTCACAAGACCAGTCAGCATGAGGTTCATTAGTCATTTCTAGGAATTATGTTTTATGCATCTATTCTGAAAATAAAAAAATGAAATAAATTAACAGTAGCCATATGTTGTAAATTTGAAGTTCTCCATAAAGCCATAACTTTAGATTCCCAAACATTAAATCTGTGTGAAATGTTAATGTTTTGTGTACTTGCACACTTTCTATTTCTAAGATTATATATTTAAAATTATATGACTATCAGTTTTCAATAAAATGTATGACCCACTTCAAAGTTATGTAATTTAATTTTTCCAATATTATTTCACAATTGTTCTTACTTCCAAAGTTTACGTTATATTATTTTATTTTCGCATCTCTTTAGTCTGTTTAAATGCAAAATGTACAAAATGTCATGGTTTTATTCGCTGAATATTTCGCTACTTTTGCTTAGCTCAATACCGGTACTAAACATAGAGGAAACCTTTGCAGGCGCTTACCTGGTGTTGCAATGTTTTAGATGGTTCTCTAAAATACACAGTGGCACTTCATGGTTGCACTTGTTGCATTTTTGTTTTAACTCCTCAATACCTTCATCCTAAAATGTAATTTACAGAGATTGGGATGAATAACATAAAGAACATGGGAAAAAAACTAACAAACAAATAATTTACAACTTTTACCTTTTGCACATCCCCATTCAGGGGGAGGTCTGCCTGTAATGGCACAATGTAGGCCACAGCCTTGTTCAAACTGCTCCGATTCTTTAAATAATATGCAGTGTAGCCCCCTGGTGGCATGGCGATATCAATGAGCTGCTTGCTCCTGCAGGAGCGCACCAGTTTAAAGCCTCCAGAGTGCTTTAATGGAGGAAAGGCCCTTTCCAGTGTGCTAATAAACTCCAGTGAGGAACCTTGCACATCCGTAAATTATACTTTTTTCCCACCAAGCCTACTTGCCTCGAGGCACACTGTTTCCTCCAAGTTAGGACTGTAGTGGGTGCACAGAAGAAAAACTTGTGCTCCCAGGGCTGGGTTTGTTTATTTGGTTGTTTGCGCAAACCTTTAGGGTACAGCTGGAAAAGCTGACTCAAAGTGGCCCTCACTGAGTCTGGCTGGCCCAATGGAAAACGTGCCATAGAAGGGGGTAAGACCTGGTCTATGGGATATGTTGTCAATCCAGTGGTCAGTAAACCTGTCTGACTAGGCGCGCCTGTCTGTACAGCTGCCAGTCCAGTGGTCAGTCCAGTGGTCAGGCCAGAAGTCAAGGAGGAGGGTGGTGCTGCTGGCTGTGTGGCTCGATTCCTTAGAAGCTGGCTCAGCTCCATAAGAATCTCAGTTGCCCTGATTCGTTGAAAAATAGAAAACACATACAAAATCTTTTATATTACAAAGATAATAGTGTGGAAAATGTAGTGTTTTACAGTAAATAATAGTAATGAGTTGAGGTGGAATGTACTAAAAATCATTAAAAAAAGGCATTATAGGCCAGAGAGTAGAGAATTTAGCTAATCAGTTAATGAAATATTGCGCTACAAGGTCTGTTACTGAGTCAGAGTGTTTGAGTTTTATGACCACAGACATCCTGTGGTGCACTGTTATGCATTTATTTTTATCATCTGTAGCCAACAATGCGAAACATCATATTTATTAGCACAAACACATTTAATAAAAACACATTTTTAAAAAGTAAATAATTCGACATTAGGGACTATTTCCCCCCTCCCCAAGCTATCAGACTTTGAAACTCAAATTCATCTTCATCACTGCTCCATTGAATATCGTTTATTTCTCTTTACAATTTTAATAATTGGTTTTATATTGCCTACAACAACTTGCTCTGTATTTCACGAATGGTGTACTTTTAATTTAATTTAAAACATTTAATGGTTTATGGACAGCTGGATGGATTAAAGTACTCCTATGGCTAATGTCCTTGTTTATATTTGGAAAACGGACTGTAGCCAATAATAAAATGACTTACTGCTGAGTGGTAAATAAAATAAAGACATGATATCTTTTGCAATTATTCTGATGACTCTGCATTATTGTAATTGCTGTGTGCCAACCAGTCCAGCAGCTGTGAGTGCTTCAACTGGGAAATCGATGACATTTTAGGCCACCAATCATTTAGACGGGTGGGACTCGTCACCCCTATAAACAAGATAACTGAATAGAGGTTTGTGCCAGCGGGGGGAACCAACTGTGATTCTTAATGCTGAATCATTAATAGCTGGAAGCATGTAAGCCAGGGCCTGACTGTGAAAGTATCAGGCATGTTTGTCTTATTATAATAATATATATATTATCATATGCAGCCGTTTAGCTACAATTACGCTTCACACAAAAGCTGCGGTTGTGTTTGCGACCTGACCTTTCTTTTCTCCGTGAGAGGGAAGAATTTATAAAGTTGCGTGACGCTGCGTTGAAGACCTGTTGTGCCGAATTCCAACACGTTCTCATCTCAATGCGTCATAACTGACAGCGTAACAAAGCGTAAGGATTTTACGCTAAACCCTTCAGCGTCCGTATGAAACGCCCCCGTGTGCTACATTGCAGCAACACAAGGGAGGGCTAATATATTATATACAGTCTATGGGGCTATGTGCCAACAGGTAGGGTTAGCCGGTCGACATGCATACATTCAGTGACTTACGTTTAGGTACTAACATTTCTGATGTTTATGTTAAGGGTAGGGGCTTCTGGGGGCTGTCAACACCTTTATCACGAACGTAGCTAACTAGCACTTCAGGTCTGTACCGGACGCCCCAGAGCGTCTCATAGAGCCCTGAATTCTGCAGAAAACAAACAAAATGTCTGGTCGTGGTAAAGGAGCCGGTAAAGCCAGAGCAAAGGCTAAGAGCCGTTCTTCCCGTGCCGGGCTCCAGTTCCCCGTCGGCCGTGTCCACAGGCTGCTGAGGAAGGGAAACTACCGTACCGTGTCGGTGCAGGAGACCCCGTTTACCTGGCAGCGGTGCTGGAGTACCTGACCGCTGAGATCCTGGAGCTGGCTGGAAACGCCGCCCGCGACAAGAAGACGACCAGGATCATCCCTCGTCACCTGCAGCTGGCAGTGCGTAACGGCGAAGAACTCAACAAGCTGCTGGGCAGAGTGACCATCGCTCAGGGCGGCATGCTGCCCAACATCCAGGCGGTCCTGCTGCCCAAGAAGACCGAGAAGCCCGCCAAGAAGTAAACACCCAGAACTATAACACAACGGCACTTTTAAGAGCCACACATCTCAAACTAAAGAGCCGTTTCCTTACTATTTGTGACAAAAGTTCTGTTGGCTGGATTTTATATCTTAAAACAAAATAGCCTACTTTCCCACAAAGAACAATTATTGCCTCCAAGCTTCTAAATGCACACATCCTATTTTCTCCTGTTAATTTAACACCCAAACCTATTACTTTTAAAACATTTACTCTAAGTTCATACAGAATCAGATCAGCTAACTTTATTTTGTGTCCACATTGACTGGTTTTTACTGTTTCAGTGGTTTGTAAACCACCCCCCATCTGGAGCTGTCCCAGGTTTTAATTGTGTTAGTCGTAAAACTCCATAAGGTTTTAACAGACCTGAAATCAGATTTTACATGGCCAGAAAGACTGGACAGTAGAGCATACAGGTGTTGTACCGAAAAGTGATCTTTACGTCTCTGCTTTTATCTGGATCAAAAATACATAATGTGCAACTAAACATCACTTTATGTCCGTGGTGATAGCAAAGGTATGTCTTTGTGAAACTTTAACATTTCATTTAAGGGAATAATCACATCTGTGGCCAAATAAGTGTTTGCAGTAGGGCCTATTATGTTTGGAAAACGGCATGTAGCCTATAATTAACAACAATTTACTGCTGAGTTTAAAAAATAAAATAAAAATAAAGACATGATCTCTTTTGCATTATTTAACTTGCAGTGTACCAGCCAATCCAGTCCTTTTTACCTGTTGAAATACCTTTAAATGGCCAATACAACCCATTCTACTTGCCAGAAAGTGACTGCAGCTTCTACTTATTGGCTGAAAGGTAGATTCTGCCTCAGAATGACTTGGTTTCACTCAGAAGTTATATTTGACAGATTATAGCTCAACAAGTACTTTTTACCTCTTAAAATACCTTTAAATGGCCAAAACAACAAAATTCAGTATTCTCTACTTATTTACTGAAAAGGGCAAAAGGTTATTTCTGCCCTGAAATTACTTTATATTCATGAGGGTTATATTTGACATAGGCCTATTATAAAACCGAGATTGACACCCCTTTTTATTTCATATATATTTTTATTAATTTACTGACCAAACCAAAAACGTCTCCGGTTTTCATTTCAGAAGTCTGGGCCCTAAATTAAACAGGACTCCAAACATACACAGATGAGAACTTTACACTGATAATGACATTTCTTCCAGCATAAGCCCAATATAACTCCATGTGGAGATTAATGTAACCTTCATGTTGCTTGTAACCCATAGTCTAGAGCTAAACAAATATAAGAAAGTTAACATGTTGCTATCTAGCTAAGTCTAAGGTGGCTCTCTTGGAAGCCACTTAATGTGATTCACCGTGTTTAATATGGATCTAAAATAACTGGTTTCATTAAACTACATGAAGCAGAGGAAGAAGCTGTTCAGTTTGAGTGAAGTGGCTCTTAAAAGAGCCATTGTGGTGTAAAGAGGTGTGGGGGGAGTTTAAGCCCTCTCTCCGCGGATGCGTCGGGCCAGCTGGATGTCTTTGGGCATGATGGTGACCCTCTTGGCGTGGATGGCGCACAGGTTGGTGTCCTCAAACAGACCGACCAGGTAAGCCTCGCTGGCCTCCTGCAGAGCCATGACGGCGGAGCTCTGGAAGCGCAGGTCCGTTTTGAAATCCTGAGCGATCTCTCGCACCAGGCGCTGGAAGGGTAGTTTACGGATCAGCAGCTCGGTGGACTTCTGGTAGCGGCGGATCTCTCTAAGAGCCACGGTACCGGGCCTGTAGCGGTGGGGCTTCTTCACTCCGCCGGTGGCCGGAGCACTCTTACGGGCAGCCTTGGTGGCCAGCTGCTTTCTGGGAGCTTTTCCTCCGGTGGATTTACGGGCGGTCTGCTTGGTTCTAGCCATTTTAGTCTCAATAACTTCTCTGTGTTCACAGATACAGAAGAATGCGCTGACATTGCGAGCAGCGGCTTTATAAAGTAGAGCCGGAGCGACGTTGGCGCTGACTTGTCCAGGCTGAGAGGAGCTGCTATTGGACAAAAACAAAATTCAAACTGACCAATCATCCGCAGCAACTGGCTAACGGCAAATGACGTATTAAAAATGTTACAACTTCATAGCATTTGGAGCTATGATTTGGAGACTAATTATCATGTTTCAAAATAAGATGAGTTGGAGAAATAAGTAAACAAAACTTGATTCCAAGTAGATAAAGTAAAAATTATTATGAAAAATAGAAACTATACAAGAGCAAAATCACAAGGTAAGCAGTAGAAATACACACAACTACATCGATATTTAAATTCATTCGCATTGTTTCATGTTCATGTTGTTAAATGTTCTCAAACTTTACAGCCCCAGACCCAAAAGAGAAATTTGTTGACCCAAACTTACAAAACTAGATTATGAATTGTCAAAACATCTACATCCATAAACTACTCGAGAACACAACAAACAATGAATTTAAAATGTAGGCTACAGCCATATAGAAGCTGTGTCTCCTTTTACTTCCCCACAACCTGAAAATAGTTTTATTAAGTGGAAAGTAATTAAGTCATTAAATCATTAAAGCTGTGTTTCAACTTTCATGCAAGTAAAGTTTACATCTTTAATTGTATTTGTTATATTGCTTTTGTTTGGTTATTTACCAACAAATGATATAGTTTTTTGATGGTGCTAATAAGTTACTAATTAATGTAATGCTAATGTAGTTGGAGGATGAAGGGTAATGTAAAGCCTACTGTTTTGTTTAGCAATTATGTTGGTGTTGAAAACAAGACAGCAAATAACAAATACTTTGATCCTCATTTGTCACTGGGATGCTACATTAAGATAAATCAGCACTTATAACATGACACAAATGTCATTTCTCACTCTACATTACTAAAATACTACTCTACGTTACTGCTCATAAAATTAAGCTCAATGATTCTAAATGCTTGACTGCAGACAAATGCACCTAGGGTTAATGCACAGGAGGGGTCACTTAAGCTACACAACAATTATTAAGCTTCTAAAAGAACATTTACAGCAGCATCAAATATGGGGAAAAGATACAAGAAAATAAAAAAGTAGACGTTGATCTGTTTGAGATATTGAAAAAAAGAGTGTCGGATACACAAAGGCAAGAATGAGAGCATACAGAAAGACCCAGAAATCATCAGGTTAACCAAATAAAGAAGGGAGACTAGAATTTGAAGGTCCATGATATCTGTTAGATTATGGGCTGGTCAACTATGTTCCAAGAATTAGCAGTAATATTTTAGAAGATATAGCTCTAATCTAGTCATTAACACTAATAAATGTAAAAATACTCTAAATGTAATGTTTCAATATTTAAACAGCACAGTCTATTGACTTTATGCAGCCTAATAATAAGCAAATACATTTTCATATACAGTGGGTACGGAAAGTATTCAGACCCCTTTAAATTTTTCACTCTTTGTTTCATTGCGGCCATTTTCCAAAAATCAAAAAAGTTCATTTTATTTCTCAGTAATGTACACTCAGCACCCCATCTTGACAGAAAAAAACAGAAATGTAGAAATTTTTGCAAATTTATTAAAAAAGAAAAACTGAAATATCACATGGTCATAAGTATTCAGACCCTTTGCTCAGTATTTAGTAGAAGCACCCTTTTGATCTAATACAGCCATGAGTCGTTTTGGGAAAGATGCAACAAGTTTTTCCACATCTGGATTTGGGTATCCTCTGCCATTCCTCCTTGCAGATCCTCTCCAGTTCTGTCAGGTTGGATGGTAAACGTTGGTGGACAGCCATTTTCAGGTCTCTCCAGAGATGCTCAATTGGGTTTAAGCTTTTTTGATTTTTGGAAAATGGCTGCAATGAAACAAAGTGAAAAATTTAAAGGGGTCTAAATTTAAAGTTTGGTGCGGCAAAGTGCCTCAATATTACGTTTCTTTTGTGCTGTTCTTTTTGTACCTGCAGACAGCAGAGGAGACGCCTGCTGCAGGGTGGGTAGTGACTTGTTAGAAGTAACGTAATTTTGCTAAATAAAAAATAAAAAAGTCACGTTCCTTTTTTAAAACTGTAGCCTACTTTTACTCCAGTATTTTCTGTGGGCCAGTAATCTACTTTTAATTTCACTACATTTTCCATTTATACCTTCATAACTTCACCAGTCTGTAATCTGCAATTGGCTTCCCTAACCGAATGAGCTGTCAGCCAGGCTGCGTGCGCGCAGTTACGCAGAAGAGCGTCAGGTCTCCTCTGTGGTTCGAAGAGACAGGCGCTTATCACACATATGAATGAGCTGGGCAGATGCAAACATTTATAAAATCAGGCAAATACCTTTTCAGTTCAAGGCTTTAACAGAATGTCGCCAGTGAAACAAATATTGGCTTTCACTCAGCAGCTACCAGCTGTTATTTATTCAGAAAACGATCATTTTTCAGATGCACAGAGAGAGAAAATATGGTGGATAAAACAGTCCTGTTGGGTTTTACACATGACGCACAGCTTCCTCTGTATGCAGGTTACCTGCTTCAACAACGAGCTGCTCTCATGTTACTGCCACAATAATTCTTTGTTCTAAAGATTATTTAGATGCTCCAGGAATAATCAGATTGTATTGGCAGCCTGCGCTACTGCAAAGCAAGTTGTTTGGTTGGCTACATGTCCATAATAAAAGGCACAGGTAACAGTGATATTTGACAGTGATTTTGTCAACACCTTCATGGAGATTTAAAAAGGGAAAACAATTATTAAACAGAAATAGCTAAAGATAATCAGCCAGCAAAGCTAATTGCATTCCCTAGAAATAATCATGTAGCAGCTGTTTCAAACCTGATGAACAGCAGCTAAAATATATTATTATACTTTTACATGAGTAGGTTTGTCATTGTTTTCTTTTACTTTTTCTTGAGTAAAGATTTTGAGTACTCACCAGATTTTGAGTACCTGCCACTGGCCAGCAGCACCAGTACTAGCGCTGACATGGTGAACATGAGAGAGACAGCAGAGATGAGGTCAATAGCAGAACAGAGTCAAAGCAGCACAGTCCAAAGCACCAGTGTATGGTAATATTGATGATGATATGGCTTATTTAGTTATCTACTCAAGGGCTCATCTCAAGTGATTACTTTACTTTAGGGGTGTTAGGGGTTCAAACTGTTTCTAGTTTTGAAAATGTATTTTAAAGGTGAATTTAGTTATGTACTCTACTTGCATAGAATTCTCAAGAATGCCGGAATAAAGGTCTCTAAAGACCCAGAGGACCCGACACATGCTTTGTCTGGAGAGTGGACTGACCAGGGACAAACTCCTGTGACCTTCCTTGGCCTTACAAACATGTGCCATGAGGTGTGCATGTGTCTTTGCTACATGTCCATAAACAGTTTGAAAGTAGTCAACATGTTCACACAGAGATGAGCATCCTACACTATTTTAAGAGGAAGAGGACAGAGGTCACAGGAGCAGGAGCAGAAATAACTGAGGAGGACGAGCTTGTAAGTTGTGTGGATAGCTAGTAGACGTAGTAAATTCTAAAACTCACGTAGTAAAAAGACTTTGAGACACAGGAAATATCACAGACAGCTTTGGATAGTGTAACATTAGGATAACTGAATACATTTGTACTGTGGCTACATTAACTAGCAGCTGTTTCTAATTAGTAGTTTTTATGGTATGTAGTCGGTTTTGTTCTAGTTATATTATACTCCCTCTCTCTGACCCTCTTCGAGCAAGTTATATAATAATATTAAAAAGAATAGAGAAAAATAATACAACTATTTGCAGACTATTTATCTATCAAATATTTAAGTGCTTTATTTAAAAAAAGTATCTAAGTTATGCCTATATAATATATAGGCATAACTTAGATACTTAACTTGTTTAATATCTTGGATACAGTAAACATTACATCCATAAAATGATGTGGCAAAATATATATATATATTTATATACATACTGTAAAACATATTTGACTACTAGGCCTAAAATGTTTAAAGGTGAAAACTATTACTATAAATACATCTAATTATTTTTTATTGTCTTCATGCTACTTCCTTCTGGTTTGATTTTGACAAAGATCTCACATTACCAAACTTAAATATCCCAACTTCGAAGCAGACATAACTTACATGATTACCTGGATTAATATCTTGGATAATATAATAGCTATCCAAATGATATGGCTCAAAATATTATCCTTTTATATTTTTAATGTACCTATTGTAAAACATATTTGATTACTATTGAAAAATTAAACCTAAAAAATTATAACATCAAGTATAAACTTTTACTCAATAAAAGTCTCCTTAAATCTGGGAAAGACTAGAGTCACAAGATACATTTTACTATAACACTAGATAATATATAATAATATAGCCTATAGTTAAAAAGTAATACTCAACGTGAATAAAACATCCAGTACTACATAATAAATACGTAGCCTATAGTTGTGTGTGATTTGGGGGTTTGTTGTGTGATCAGCTGTTTAAATGTTAACAATAAATGAGGAAGCCTCTTTAGTGAAGCTGTGGTGGTTCTTAAAAGAACCTTTGGTGCACTGAGTGCTGGATTAAAGAGCCGCTTCACTTCTTGGTCTTCTTGGCTGCAGTTTTCTTTACCGGAGCTTTCTTGGCAGCGGGCTTCTTGGCCGCCTTCACCTTTTTAACGGGGGTCTTCTTGGGACTCTTCTTCGCTAGCGGCTTTTTCACGGCTTTCTTCGCCGGTGCCTTCTTCTTCGGGGACTTCTTGGCTGCCGCTGCCGGTTTCTTGGCCGCTGGCTTCTTAGCTGCCGGTTTCTTGGCCGCTGTAACTTTCTTGGCGGCGGCTGCGGGCTTCTTGGCTTTAACGGGAGCTTTCTTCTTCGGCGCCGCTTTCTTGACAGGTTTGGCGGCTTTGGGCTCCTTCTTGGCGAGCTTGAAGGAGCCGGAGGCCCCGGTCCCTTTAGTTTGTCCCAGGGTTCCTCCGGTCACCAGCTTAGTCACGGCGGTGTTGATGCGTTTGTTGGCTTTGGTCACATCGACGCCTTTTGCCGCCAGAACCTTCTTAATGGCCGCCAGCGAGATCCCCTTGCGCTCCTTGGACTCAGCCACGGCGCTGATGATGAGCTTCGGGAGGGTCGGGCCCTCCTTCTTGGGACGGGGAGCCGCCTTCTTCTTCGGGGCTTTAGCCGGGGCTTTGACCGGGGCCGCTGCTGGAGCTTCTTCCGCCATCTCTGCGTCTCTGTCTGCTGTGTTTGTCTGAAGGTGTCCGAGCTGAGAGGAGGCGGGACTTATAAAGCACATGAGAACCGTGGAGAGGCAACACACGCAGCCGCTCCGCCGCCCGGCTCAAATGTGGCGACACTTGTGTTTTCTCTTTCACGTTTTGGGGATAAAATACCCAGAAGAGGAACGTTTTAGAACATAAATATTATTTTATAAGTGAGAAAACGTTCTTCCCTTCAGATTGAGATCATGTATGGCGACCAGGACTCGTTTATTTAATTCCAGGAGGCTTCAAACCTCTCTGAAACACCATCACTTTGTACAACTCGCAGCGAGTTTTCGACACATTTTGTCTCTAAAAATGGCTAAAAGTGATTTGTATTAAATGTGAAAGTGGTTTTCCAGTAAGCAGAGACGTGTGTTTATAGAATACAACTGAAATGGCTGCAGTAATGAGTTTAATTTAGTTTTAATCAGAGACGTTTTCTGTGGAGGTAAACACACTGTTGCTGTCTGTGACTCAGGGTGTTAGACTCCTGTCACAGATCCAGCAGATGATAGATTAGATGATTGGAAAAGACTTTCCGTTTCTACCAAATGTTAGATTTAAAATGAAGGGATTAACTGCACAAAGTAGCCTACTAGCCTATTTCTTTTTTCTTCTGTTGGCTACAAAGATCTGCTTTCTGTCTGCAACATGATTTGATCTGGTCAGTCCCAGAAGTTAATACTTTAATAGGCTATAACTTTAATTTGATATTTAAACGTGATTAAAAATATTTTCTTGGTAGCTTAATTCTTGTCAGCTACCTTGAGGACAAAGAAATTTTATTATCTGCTTGCTTTGTATTTTATTCGGGAATTTACAGACTTGATTTTAGATTTAGCTAATTTAAAACATAATGGGTCTCTAAAGGCTGATGTATTTTTAGACTCATCAAACTTCATTTAAATATGGGAAATATTAAAATCAATATGTGATTTTACAGACTTTACATTGTTTATGAATTTATTGTAGGTTTGTTTATGGCCTTGGCCCAGCTGCTTAATGTATTGAGAGGAATTTATGAATCAAATATCTGTTATAAATCTGCTTTAGCATACCATAAATTCTTAGCAGATAAACCTTTAAACACAATTGAACTAAATAAAATCCAAATATTTGGGGTGGAATAAATAAAACAAACCATTTCTCTTGCCTCTGTATCAAAACTAACTGAAATAACATTAACTTGAGGTTTAACCCTAGGTATGTATTTAATAGTTCATTTATTTGATTTATATGAAAACAGGTCTGTAAATTTAGTTTTCTTGGGTTGAATTCAGGGAGAAATGTGTCTTTAACAGTTTGATGGCAGACAAGCACAGAAAATCTGATTCAGCAAAATCGCATTACCGATCAAACTCAGCTTCAGTTTGTGTGGAAACCACTTTCTCTGCAGGTTTCTTGTTTGTAATAGGCTACAGGTAATGTTGTTTTGTTGTTGCACAAAATGAAGTCAAGACTGTATGTTCTGATGTCCAAAGCTTATTATAATGAGTTTAAATATGTACAGGAAGGATATGATGTAATATAGCAAGATAGAATTGTTAACCGCAGGATCGTAGTGGGAGAGAATAATGACTGTGTCTCATATATGAAGTACAACATTGTCACCAGCACTGCCTTAATGTATAGCTGATGTGAGTGTGAACATGTTTTGTGTTTACTGTTTTCCCCTCACATGTGCTTTACATTTTGGTCTGTGCCCATTGGGGTTCTGGGGGTTAAATGTGTATGGTAAACTATGATGACGTCTGTCTTGTTTGAATTCCCATTGGGGATCAAGAAAGTATTCTGAGCTTCCTAACGTCGATTAATTAACTGTGTGCAGTCTGGAGACGTGGTATAATTTTGTCTGAAACTTAATACACCAGAGGTGTGGACTCAAGTCACATGACAAGTATGATGACTTTAGACTCAACTTGACAAAATCAAAAAAAGACTTGCAACTGGACTTTAACACCAATGGCTCATGACGTCCCATGGACTTGAGCCTTTTTACTCAAAATGACTTGATACCCTCCCCAAGACCAAATATAAATTATGATATAAACAAAACTATGTGTAACACTTCATTCAATTCAAATAAGAAATTTGTTGTATGAAACTGTGCCTCTGCCTTTTTGCTGTACAGGTTAAACCTTTATTCAATTAAGTTTCTTTCATTTTTAACTCATGTTAATGTCCTAAAAAAGTTTAGGACCTGACACTTGACTTGCTTGTCTCAACCGGTGTCGACCTGGGACTTATGTATTAGGACTTGAAACTTACTTGTAAAACAATGTCTTGGTTCCACTTCTGTAATACACATTGTTAAAACCATAACATCTTTATTCTGTTAATGCACATTTTTATCATTTTATCAGTTTTCTGTTTTACTTTTGGCGTGTTTAACTAAATTAAGCAGGCAGCTCGCTATCCGCTATAGCCTATTGTACTTTTTCCTTGCCGTTCTTGTGGTTAGGTGAATTGTTACAACATGAAGTTTATGTGCACACAGGACTTTACAGATTGAGATGGTAATTCTCCTTCAGGCAGGTCTGGAAACAGTCTCAGCAGTAAACAGGAGAGGAAACAGCCCCACCTGGTGGTCTAAAAGTAAAACTGCAGCTGTAAGCAGCCCTGTATGGAAACATGAATGTTTTCCGCCATGAGAAGCACTCCGCATACCCTTCCTCGTTAGTATAGTGGACAGTATCTCCGCCTGTCACGCGGAAGACCGGGGTTCGATTCCCCGACGGGGAGAATATTTTATATAATGACTGAATGGAAATAAGAGTCTGAGGTTCTGATTCTGCCAGCATACGATAAAACAATGATGATCTACCACGAATCAGGTCATGGTTATTGATTACGAATATAGAGGATGCATGTAAGACACATTCTGTAATATAGCTCTTCGTTTTTATATATATTAATAGTAGTAATTTGTTGACAGAGTGACACAGACATGTCGGATTAAAAAGGAGGAATTTATTTCTACAAATTGCTTGGTCCGCAGGAACGTATGAATGTAAACATTCATATATCCAGCACATGACAAAGTAAAGGTCGGAGTTGATGCACAATCGGAACAGAACATTATTATGGCAAAGACTAAGATGAAGAGACAGGAGGTGTAATTACTACATACGTCAACAGGAAAGAGCTCTAGTTGAAGCAGTGGGTGGCCCTGAAAAGGGCCTTTGTGTTGGTGGTGCAGCAGCGGGTTTACTTGGAGCTGGTGTACTTGGTCACGGCCTTGGTGCCTTCAGACACGGCGTGCTTGGCCAGCTCACCGGGCAGCAGCAGGCGGACGGCGGTCTGGATCTCCCTGGAGGTGATGGTGGAGCGCTTGTTGTAGTGAGCCAGACGGGAGGACTCGCCGGCGATGCGCTCGAAGATGTCGCTCACGAACGAGTTCATGATCAGCATGGCCTTGGACGAGATGCCGGTGTCGGGGTGGACCTGCTTCAGGACCTTGTACACGTAGATGGCGTAGCTCTCCTTCCTGGTCTTCCTCTTCTTCTTGCCGGTCTTGGTGACGCTCTTGGAGACGGCTTTCTTTGAGCCCTTCTTCGGCGCTTTCACGGGATCAGGCATCTTCTATCACGTCGTTTGCAGTTTTAACGAATAGCCCTACAGCTCTCAGGCTGAATGTTTATATGCGCTGGATGTAAATTAGGCTGCGCTGTCCCTCGTACGTGATTGGCTGAGTTTTAAACGCGACTGAGCATGCTTGAAATAAGCGCTGATAAACATTCCTCTAAGCAGAAAAATATACTGATTTTTAAAAGTTGAGTGTATTGACTGAAGGAAGTATTCAGATAATTTACTAACACTACACTGTACAATGTCCACTGTGCCTGTTATACTATTGTTTATCCTTTCATCATTATTCCTCATCATTCATGTAAAGTAGAACATTGCTGCTGTAGTTGTTGAACTGGAGCTCATTCTGAACTGTAACTAATGATTATTTTCATTCTAGATCAATCTGCTGATTATTTTCTCCACTAATCAATTGATGATTTGGTTTGTAAAGATTCTAAAAATAGCTTGTTTTGTCAATGTTATTAAAAATATTACAGTTATTACAGACTTTCACAGGAAAAGCAGCAAATCTTCACATGGGAGAAGCTGGAAATCAAATGTTTCACCAATTTATTTGCTATCAATCAACTAATCGTTTCAGCCGGCCTACTTGTAAAAACTGTTGGGTAGTTAAAATTACAAAACAGCACTACATGTTGTAATACAAACACCTAGTAAGATCTCAATATTCCCTCTAAGATGTAGGGAGCAGAATTATGAAGTTAATACGTCACTGGTGATGTTAAAAATGATGTCTGAGGCAACATACTGGTTCAATGTGTGAACTGAATATAGGACCCCCCCAAATCATTCAGTTAACCAAATACAGGGTTTTGAAGTTATAATGAATAAAGATTCAGGGTAGGTACTTTTTACTAATGGGTTAATTTTATGCTTGTGGTCACCTCAAATCATTTCTCTCAGATAGCAGCTGCATTATAAAGGACACTGAGAAACTTAGTAATAGTTGATGTAAGGATGAACTCTTCAGATGAGTGAGCGGCCCTTAAAAGGGCCTTTGTGTTTGAGTATCAGCAGGTCAGGATCAGGTTTAGCCTCCGAAGCCGTACAGGGTGCGGCCCTGCCTCTTCAGAGCGTACACCACGTCCATGGCGGTGACGGTCTTTCTCTTGGCGTGCTCGGTATAGGTGACTGCATCACGGATCACATTCTCCAGGAACACTTTGAGTACACCGCGGGTCTCCTCATAGATCAGACCGGAGATCCGCTTCACTCCGCCACGACGTGCCAGACGGCGGATAGCGGGCTTGGTGATCCCCTGGATGTTATCGCGGAGCACTTTGCGGTGCCGCTTGGCGCCTCCTTTACCGAGCCCCTTTCCTCCTTTGCCTCTTCCGCTCATCTTGCTGGTTTGATTCTTCTACTGACAGCGTAAAAACTACCGTTGAAGCGCAGCAGTTGGGTATTTACATCTTTTCTGCGGACGTTAAAGAGGCCCGAGTGTCGCTGGGCGGGGCCATACTCAGCTTTCCTAAAGCCCCGCCCCCACACCAACATACCTTATTTGTACACATAACACTCATATGGGCCACGTTGTAGACATTTGTTTTTTGGAGAAAATAAAACTGAATATAAAAATCAGCCCATGATACACACCTGGCGCTGAGACCGACAGAGTTTGCTGGTGACTAGAAGCTCTTTCACCAGAAACTGCAGCTCAGGATGAAGAGGCACAGATCTCTTCACTGCAGCGCTCATCAGTTATGACTGAAGTATAACAGAATTACCACAGAGCATAAGACAATCCATTTTATTGATTAACATGATTGTTTCGCAGATGGAGAAACAAATTACACTGTAATTACCATCCACTAGTGACTCGTTTCCTTTGGGTGTCAGCAGGTAATGTGGACCCTGAGGCAGACGGTACTAAAACAGACATTATTATGTCAGTTAGAAACATGAAACAGTCACTCTTGATTAAGATACAGACCACTAAAATATTACTTTACCTGCTAAGTCTATAAATTGAAGTAATACTACATTTTATTCATTCACACATTCTTGTATGGATCGATGCTTAGTTAAAATACTCTTAGCCTTTATAGTCTAAGCAGGTGAAGCAATCCTACTAAATTCCTGCTTTAAATAACATGCATTGAGAAAATCAATTCATGAACCCTATTGGTCAGAAGGAACATCAGCATGCAAACACAACATTAGTGGAACACAGCAAATGATGATGGACCAGCGGCTGGCAGCACACAAAAAGATTCAATGATATTGATAACAGATTGGCAATTAATGACGCGGTTTGAGCCAAAATCAATTTTGAATGATCAGTCAGTAGAAAATCAAACAAAAAATGTACTTACTGTACACGTGCTTTGGTGGGTGTGATATGCTCTGCGGTGTTTTCTCCAGCTCCTCATCATTCCAGTCATTATTTGTTAGGTAAAGATAAAGGACTGGTCCACGGACATTCAGCTTACCTTCCAGTTTGCCAAAATTGTTGCTGGATGTTTGATGCAGTTGAAGCAAGTTCAACATGCCCAGGTTATCTTTTCATTATCTGTCTTCACCCCAACAATCGCAATCAGGATAAGCAGTCACATGAAGCTGGTTATCAACTCAGTAAATCAACCCTGTACAATATGAGTGTGTTGATTCGATGTGCTCTCATGGCATGTAGCTATGTCAACTTTAGTAGGCTATTATTCTTTTATTTCCACATTAAAAGTATCGGGCTCTGAGTAAGTGGTTGTTCAAACTCGCTTTTAAGAACTTCCCCTCTCTTCAAAAATCAGAATCATTTTTTTAACACACATAAAAATGTTCCGAACATTGTTCTAAATTAACTTCATAAAGCAACGACACAGAAACTCCATTCACGCCATAAAAGGTGCTCAAATAGTGCTTGAAAGACTGAATCTCAACATTTACTCCCCACACATTAGCCTAGGCCTACCTTCCCCCACATAGCAAAAGGTGGGGCGGGTCAACATGCCACATGACAGTCTCTGTAGATAGCTACTAACATAAACACTTTCCTATTAAACTGAATTCCAATAAGCCTACCAAACAATTTTTCTTTTGAGTTTGTTACTTTACTGCAAATGGAATTTGTAAATAAATAAGTCACTTAATGTAATCGTAAATGTCAATGAAATATGGTAGGCCTATAGTGTAGGCCAGATATCTCCTCAGATGTCTGTTAGCGGCCTTTACATGGCTTGATGTATAGCCTAGATCTTAAATTTTACATATAAAGTTCTGTTAACCTGTGGTGAAGTTCAGGATATCAGTAGCTGAGTTGGTTGTAAGTGGAACAACACAACTCTTTATTACAGCCTATGTTAGGCCTATATTGTTCTGTTGATAAATAGTAAATAAATAGATGAATATACGGTGATTGGGCGTATTTAGCAGAATCTAAATATTTACACGAGACATACAAAATGGCTAAATATGAATGTTCTGTTGACCGCTGGATGTAATGGCAGTGTGTGCCCTACTGCCGAAAATAATGCTGCGTTCCCGACTACTGGGAATTCGGAGTTATCGCAGTTGAAACTTCCGACCTCTTTCCAGGTGCATGTCTGACCTTGACAAACTGATGGTTATTTGTCAAGTGTGCACACAACTGAACCCCTAGCAGTGCCCCTGGTGCACCGATGTTAACATTAGCAACATATTTCCAAATCACCTTTCGGAAAGTTTCCGAGTTGCCTAGAACGCAGCGTAAACACAGCAGGCTATGATGTCATCTCCGTGCGACGATCGAGTCTTCCAATTTCGCCATGGCCGAATCTGAGTATGTATTTGTTTTTAATTATATCAAAGTCCATCCGTTCTTTCTTTGCATGCAGTGATATTGCTTTGAGTCTTTCCAAGAAATAAAAGGTTTGCTTATTCTGTCAAGACCTATATTTAGAGGGTTGATGGTAAGAAAAAAGAGCATTTAGGGAGCTTTATCTCACATTGTGTTTACTTTACATTACCGAGAGATAGCCGCGACATAGCTATTGTAATATTTAGTGAACATTTTGAACTATTTATGTGTAATTGAAGTTGTGTAGCTGACACCCTATATTTTGTATGTTCTGTTTGGATTTAGTCATTTTCGCACATGTTGAGCAGCTGACAATAAGTTAAGTGAAGGTTACAATAATCAAACTGGAAAGCTGACGCTACATGTGGCTAACGTTATCGTCTGGGCAGAGGTGACAGCTTGATTCCCACCACGTCTTAAGGCTGTAGAAGCCTTACAGTATAGAAGTCATGGGGATGTCATATGTTTCACAAAAGCTTTCCTCACTGACTATGTGTTTGTATGCCTCTGTTCTCAGGTCAAAAAAAGTGATCAAGTTAGTTCCTGAGTATCTCCTGAAAAAGAGGAAAGCATACCAGGCTATTAAAGCCACACAAGCCAAGCTTGCACTGCTTGAGAAGAGAAAGGTAAATGAGAATTTTTTCCCTTGGGATTATTTTGCAACATGTTAAGAAGTCAAAAACAAGTGAAAGCATAAGGACTAAACTGTGATACATGATGATAAATGATAGATCAGGCTTTACAACAAACATACCATCTATATTTATGTGCTGCTGTATAGTTATGTGTGTATTTCTACATTATTCCAGGTATCAAAAGGCAAATCATTAAAGTTCAAGCGTTTAGAAGACCTTTTGAAAGACAGTCACAAGAAGCATCGTGATGAAACTCGCATCCGCAGAGGCGAACACAGGCCCCCTGCCCCTCTGCCTCCTGCTAAGAACAGGCTAGCCTTCGCCGTCCGGATCAGAGAGTGAGTGCTTTGACTCAACGGGTTTTTAAATGAAATTCCTCCCGATGTTGTCTCTGTTACGTAAATAGGTGTGCTATACAGAAATTCATCAAAAGCTGAAATTGGTTGTACACACGCAAACAGGAGGTCATGTCCAATATCTGTTATACAGTGAACATTTTGTCAACAGATGAGTTGTCAAAGTGAGCACTCGTTTGGTAGGTTTAGTTAAGAATCTTCTCGTAGGAGGCAGCAGGTGTAGTAAACTAGTCAGAAATCATAATCCCTCTACATGCTGCATGCATTTACCTCACGTCACAGTTCACTTCCCTCTCAATGTCTAATGTAACTTGAGCCATATAAGTTATGTGGAGAAGTTTTGGGGGGGTTTTGCGTACACATTGACCATAAGTAAAATGTTGTCATCAGTTTAGTCTAGATGTTGAGAATTTGAATGTACCACAGGGCTGTCTGTTTCCGCTTTGTCCGGTGTTCAAACTTAAACCGGTTTGATATTATGTGAACAGACTGAGCCGGCATTTTGAATAGTCTAAGTTGTCACTGACATTTTAAGCTGCTGTAGGCAAGAGACAGCTAGACAGCCCCAAAACACATGTTCGTGCGTAGTGAGTGCACAGGCAGAGTGCGCGCTGGAAGGGTTGGTAGGCCTGCAAATCATTTCATTCAGACCAAAGGAAATGATTGGCTATTAGGGTAATAATAAATCATAATATTCACAATATACCCCCCAGTCATTCAGCCCTAGTAGCTAACCAGCTATAGTTTGTTGGTACAGTCATTAACATAACAGATTCAAGGGTAAGTGCTTAAATCACTGAACTCACCCTGCCTTTATATGGAACATGCCTTTAATTCTTTACTATGCCGGTAGATCTGAATGAATAACACTTTGTTGCTCACTGTTTCTGTTAATCGAACTAAATGATTGAATTGTGAAGGGGGGGGCTCATTCATTGGATTTCATTTTGTTACACTTGGGAGCGGCTGACTCACATGTGACACCTAGTGGTAAAATTCCGTGTTACTGGTACGGCATTTGGCTTAATATCAAACAGGTTTGAAATGTTTTATATTGGCCCGAGCCTAATGTACACGTCCTATTCTTTGGTTAGATACTTATGAACTGGTCAGTCTCACACTACAGCAAGCAGACTCAGTTTAAAGTGCAGAAACGTATAGAAGATACCTTTTTTTTTTTCTTTTTTTTTTCTTTAAACTGGAAACTCTTAAAAGACGTGTATGTTACAATCGCATACCCCACCTTTTAAAGCAGGGTTAATCGTGAGCTTAAACGAGCACGGCATGATATTTGTTACTGTAGGATTGCGTTGCCATGTTTTTCTTTTCTTCCTTGCTGTGTCAAATGTGTTTTACTACCTCTGTGGCTATCTACTTTCCAGACTTCCTTGTAGGAAGCAAGATTAACTAATACCTGGTGCACACTAGAGGATTTTAAAATCTCATCTGATTTTAAAATCGTGGGCTACCGCAGACAGAAAAATAATTGATGATCCTCTCCTGTTAGAATTAAAGGTGTCAGTCCTAAAGTGATGAAGGTGGTCCAGATGTTGAGGCTGAGGAAGATCTTCAGTGGGGCCTTTGTCAAAATCAACAAGACCTCTGTAGCCATGATGAAGGTGGTGGAGCCCTATGTGGCTTGGGGGTAAGTAACAAATTACTTTGTACTTGTTT